CTTTTTCCAGAGGTCCAGACCTTGAAGTTTAGCTGCTGGTTCTTCAAACTCAACTTGTTAAAAAATGAGTTGACCACTTTCTCCTTCCAACTGGATCTTGCTCCTCTATTCCCCATCTCAATGAATGACACCACCTTCTGTCATAAACCTAGATATGGTCTTTATTTGTCAATATCCCTATTTCCTTAAGTCAAATCAACCATCTGTAACTCCACCTCATAAACATCTCCTGGCCTTTTCTCTTGTCACCATTCCTATTGTCACTACCATGGTCCCAGGCCAACTATCTCATTTAGATTTTTTTAAACCTGTATATCTGCATCAGCCTCATTTTTTTTTTTTTTTTTGAGCTCTCTGTTTTCTTTCTGCAATCCATTTCTCATGGGGTAGAGAGAATGATCCTTCTGTCTACAAATATGCATTCCTTTGCCTGAAGTATTTCAATGCTTTTCCATTGTTCCACTGTTCTTATAACACATGTCCATGGCTTATAAAAATCCCATTATAGTCTGGCCCCTTTCTGCCTCTCAAGCAGTCTTTCTCCCCACATACTCCCACTCTCATTCACAACACTAGGTCACTGGAATTCCATGGTTCCTTGAATCTACAATGCTTTCTCTAACCTCTGGACCATCTTGTATCATATTCTCTCTTCTCACAGACTCCCTTCCCCTTCTTGATTCACCTTTTGCCTTACTATTTACTCATTAGCTTCTAGATGTCAATTTAACTTTATCTTTGGCCCAGAAGTTTTCATTAAACACCCAGTCGGATTAGACATTTGTCTTTGCTCTCATGGCGCCCTGCACTTACCTCTACTTTGTCTCTTAGCAAATTCTATTGCTTTTTTATGTTTAGCTTTCTGAGGGCAGGAATTGTGTCTGTTTTGGTTATTCTTGTAGCCCTAGGTCATAGCACAGTGCCTGGCACAAGATACATGCTCAAAAATAATCCAACGTGATTAATGAATTAACATGTGGCTTGGGACAAGCAGTGCCCTCTTTTGAGAATGTTCTTCTTTGCATCCTTGCTAACTTGGCAAACTCCTGCTCACTATTCAAGCCTCAGCATCAATGTTTCTTGACTCCCTAAGGGAGTTGAGTCCCTGTGACCCATATCACCCTCTTCCCCTTCATTATTTTTAGTGTATTATTTGCGTGTGAGTCTGTTTAGACACCACACTTCAAAATCTCTAATGGCAGACACTGTCTTCATCTATGAATATTAGCACCCATCATCTGCTATAGAGCAAATACTCGAATGCTTGCTAAAGGTTGGAGGGATTATAATAATAAAGCTGGGTCTGATTTTTTTTCTGAAGATGATACACTTGACTTAATATAGTTCCAAATAATTCCACACAGTTTGTTCATGAATGTGTCCTGTAATAAGTGTTTTTCTTACTGTGGGTACTAGTTGCTAAGTTATAGGATTTTCTCAATTCATTGAAGTTTTTATCTCACCTATGTTCTTTGTTCAGATGTGTTCAAGTCTCCATCACATGAAATGCATGCCTATACAATATTCCAAACTAAATTTCAGAAAAAAGAGATTCATGACATCATAAATCCTTTGGACCGATTTAGAAAACACAATGCAGGATCTTTACAGACATCTGAATATTTTCTAAGCTGTCCTCTAGTACTGTGCAAAAAAGAGAAAATGTAGACCTTTGAAGGCCATCTAAAATATTTAGATCAGTGATTGTACACTGTGGGTGATTTTGTGCCCCATGAGACATTTGGCAACGTCTGGAGACATCTGAGTTGTCACAGGTGTATATGTGAGCAATAACGACTGATCTAATCAGAGGATGTTGTTAAAATTCTTTTTTTAAAAAAAATAATTATTGTCTTCTGCTAGCTTTTGAATTTGCTTTTGCTTCTCTAGTTCTTTTAATTGTGATGTTAGGGTGTCAATTTTAGATCTTTCTTGCTTTCTTCTGTGGGCATTTGGTGCAATAAATTTCCCTCTAAACACTGCTTTGGCTGTGTCCCAGAGATTCTGGTACATCGTGTGTTTGTTCTCAGTGGTTTCAATGAACTTATTTATTTCTGCCTTAATTTCATTATTTACTCAGTAGTCATTCAGGAGCAGGTTGTTCAGTTTTCATGTAGTTGTGTGTTTTTGAGTGAGTTTCTTAATCCCAAACTCTAATTCAATTGCACTGTAGTCTGAGAAACTTTGTTACGATTTCTGTTCTTTTGAATTTGCTGAGGAGTGTTTTACTTCCAATTATGTGGTCAAGTTTTGAATAAGTGCAATGTGGTGCTGAGAAGAATGTATATTCTGTCTATTTGGGGTGAAGAGTTCTGTAGATGTCTGTTAGATCCACTTATTCCAGAACTGAGTTCAAGTCCTGAATATCCTTGTTAATTTTTGTTTTGTTGATCTGTCTAATATTGACAGTGGAGTGTTAGAGTCTCCCACTATTATTGTGTGGGAATCTAAATCTCTCTCTTTTTTTTTTTTTTGAGATGGAGTTTCGCTCTTGTTACCCAGGCTGGAGTGCAATGGCGTGATCTCGGCTTACTGCAACCTCTGCCTCCTGGGTTCAGGCAATTCTTCTGCCTCAGCCTCCTGAGTAGCTGGGATTACAGGCACGCGCCACCATGCTCAGTTAATTTTTTGTATTTTAGTAGAGACAGGGTTTCACCATGTTGACCAGGATGGTCTCGATCTCTTGACCTCATGATCCACCCGCCTTGGCCTCCCAAAGTGCTGGGATTACAGGCTTAAGCCTCTGCGCCTGGCCGAATCGAAATCTCTTTATAGGTCTCTAAGAACTTGCTTTATATATCTGGGTGCTCCTGTATTGGGTGCATATATATTTAGGATAGTTAGCTCTTCTTGTTGCATTGATCCCTTTACCATTATGTAATGCTCTTCTTTGTCTTTTTTTATCTTTGTTGGTTTAAAGTGTTTTATCAGAGACTAGGATTGCAACCCCTGTTTTTGTTTTTTGTTTTTTTGCTTTCCATTTGCTTGGTAAATATTCCTCCATGAACAAAGCCTTCCAGAAATATGGGACTATGTGAAAAGACCAAACCTCCATTTGATTGGTGTACCTGAAAGTGATTGGGAGAATGGCACCAAGTTGAAAAACACTCTTTAGGATGTTATCCAGTAAAACTTCCCCAACCTGTCAAGACAGGCCAACATTCAAATTCGGGAAATACAGAGAACACCACAAAGATGTTCTGTGTGTGTCTTTGCATGTGAGATGGGTCTCCTGAATACACTACACTGATGGTGTACTTGACTTTTTATCCAGTTTGCCAGTCTGTGTCTTTTAATTGGGGCATTTAGCCCATTTACATTTAAGGTTACTATTGTCATGTGTGAATTTGATTCTGTCATTATGATGCTAGCTGGCTATTTTGCCCATTTGTTAGTTGATGCAGTTTTTTCATGGTGTTGATGGCCTTTACAATTTGGTATGTTTTTGCAGTGACTGTTACCAGTTTTTCCTTTTCATATTTAGTGCTTCCTTCAGGAGCTGTTTTAAGACAGGCATGGTGGTGACAGACTTTCTCAGCATTTGCTTTTCTATAAAGGATTTTATTTCTCCTTCGTTTATGAAGCTTAGTTTGGCTGGATATGAAATTCTGGGTTGAAATTTCTTTAAGAATGTTGGATATTGGCCCCTACTCACTTCTGGCTTGTAGAATTTCTGCAGAGAGATCTGCAGAAACCCCCAAGACACATAATCATCAAATTCGCCAAGATTGAAATTAAGGAAAAAATGCTAAGGGCAGCCAGAGAGAAAGGTTGGGTTACCCACAAAGGGAAGCCCATCAGACTAATAGTGGATTGCTGAGACTTTGCGGAGAATTTCTAAAAGTTTGTCCAAAATTTTCTGAATTTTGTATTGGTTTTTGTTTAAGCCATCTATTTCCTGGAATATTTCTACTTTCACGTCTTGTATCATTTTTTGGATTTCCTTGCACTGGGCTTTGCCTTTCTCTGGTCTCTCCCTGATGAGTTTAATAACTAACCTTCTGAATTCTTTTCCAGGTCAATCAGGGATTTCTTCTTGGTTTGGATCCACTGCTGGTGAACTAGTGTGATTTTTGGGGGGTTGTTGAACAGCCTTGTTTTGTCATATTACTAGGGTTACTTTTCTGGTTCCTTCTCATTTGGATGGGCTCTGTCAGAGGGAAGGTCTAGGGTGAAGGCTGTCATTCAGATTCTTTTGTCCCAAAGGGTGTTCCCCTGGTGTAGTACTGTTCCCCTTTTCCTATGAATGTGGCTTCCTGTGAACTGAACTGCAGTGATTATTGTCTCTCCTCCAGGTATAGCCACCCACTGAATCTACCTGGCTCCAGGCTGGTGCTGGGAGTTGACTCCACAGAGTCCTGTGATGTCAACTGTCTGTGGATCTCTCAGCCATGAATACCAGGGCCTGTTCTAGTGGAGGTGGTGGAGGGTGCAATGAACTCCATGGGAGTCCTTAGCTTTGGTGGTTTAATGGTTTATTTTTCAGATGCTCTTCAAATTCTTACAATGCACCAAAGAATTGGTTCAAAATATTAATAATGTCAAAGGTGAGAAATCAGACTTAGATGAAATAAAAGTCTCAGTTCACTCAAATGCACTTTCCTTTTCAGGATAGAGCATAAATAATACTCAACTTACAACCGTAAGACCTAAGTACAGTCCCACCCAGGAGCCCTTGCTCTTATATTTTGATGTTTTTATCTTTAAAATTTTATGCTAATACCATCTCATGGGATTGTTACAAAAATTAAATATTACAAGCTATGGGAAAAGCCTTAGTTCAGTATCTGGCAAATAGTAGTTGCCGATGAGATGTTTCTAAAAACAGGTCCATAAACACATGGGGGATGGGGTTTAGGAGGTAGAGATGAATGAGATTTACCCTGAACAGTTCCTGAGCACCTCCTGCTTTCTAGGATCTGCACCTGCATCACCACTTCTGAGAGCACTTTAGAGAGGAGTGGGCATTAACAAAGATCCAGGGACATGCACATACGTACCTTTTGTTCTTTTCGTTCCACAGCTGCGTTGCATTTTTCTATTCCCCAGTTTCTCAAAAAATCTCTGAGATAGCCAAACAGGGTTCCAATTCCATATGCCATGTAAGTGAAAACCACAACATGAAGGGGTGCTTCCTCAAAGGATTCAACAATGAGCTTATCATAAAAATGTGGCTTCCCATTTTGCTGAAAACACAGAAGAAAATCCAAGATTAGCATTCTCCTGCTACACATATACTATGATACAATTGTGAATTTTCAACCCTTTAAATTAATTCTAAAGACCATATTTAAGATTGTAAAAAAAATAAGAAACTGATCATTAAAGAGAGTAATCACAAATGCAAACTTTATTTTACAGGCTATAGTAACAGACTTGATTCAAGCAAAAGTTCTCAACAGAAACTCAAACCGTTAGATGAAGAGTTAATGAGAAATAGAGTGTGTGCAAGTTGCTGAAGTATGACCCCATAGCTTACTTCCTAATCACAAACTTGGGGTTGTTAACGAGGTGATCAAATTATATCACAAATATTGGAACAAGCAGCCATTCTACCTTCCTGTCAAGTGTGATATTCAATACACATCACACCTATGAAATATTTTACCTGAACTTAGTTAAGCTCTTGTGTCTAACTTCCATTTTACAAGAGATACCAGGCTAAACAAACATGGTAAACAATCAGATAATATGTAATGTAGAACCTACATATGTATTATCTTCATTCCCTCTACATTTTTGAGAAGCAGAATTTTTGGAATCTGTGTGATTTAGTCACTGGGAGTTTTATTCCAAGCCACAAAATAGATGGAAAGCAAATCAGTCTGGTAGATGGATATTTTAAATCTCTACATTCTTATTAAAGACATTTTTAAAAGCCGTATTTTATAGTGATACCTAACATTTGAACTCCTAAGTCAAAACACAACAAAATATTATTAAAATTATTTTCCTCCTTATTTATTATTTCAGGTTACCACTATACATACCCCAAACTAACACTGGTGGATATTCCTGTCTAGTGTGTCATCCCAAACACTACTTGATGGTATAAAATAATGAAAATGAAAGAGCACTGGTTAATATGCAGTCTTGAGTAAAAGGAAGATGACAGGTCACATTCTTGACTTGTATATGGGGCATTTGTTACATGCCTTCCATGAGCAACCAGTGTGCTCAGCTCTGGGGATTAAAAGATGAACAGGACAGACCCCATTCCTACTCCTCCCTCTAAGTACGTCCTTACCCCAGTCATGTAGGTCTGACGGATGGCTGACCTTGCTATGCTATTTTAGTACAAACCTTTGGCTCCCTTCCTTGGCTCTGTTCTGCACTTGACCATTGGACTACATCAATCTCCATCCAGCATTCCAGGTGACCTCCTGGCCCAGTTAAAATCCACCATCCTTCTGCATCACAGGTACGCAAAATTGGTTTCCTTGCTGGATTTATCCAGACTCTAGCAAAAGAGACTCAGAGTCTCATGAAGGAAGACATGATAGAACTTTATAACTGATTAGATATAAAGTTAAGGAAGAGGAAAAAGAAAACTATATGCAAGAAGCAGTATAGTATTGTTGATAAGAAGAAAGAAGGACATGGAAGGAGAGCTGCTTTTTGGAGAGAAGACATGAGTCTGTACAGAACATGCTAGGTTAGGGGTAGTGATTGCCTGCATAAATTCCCAGAGCAGTGAGGAACTCAGGAAAAAGAAAGACCCTGACTCGGTCAATTACTATGGGCCACAGTTTAAGTGATGGTTGAAGGTGAGTGTGATAAGGTACAAATCATAAAGAGGGAAGAGCAGTAGGCTTGGGACAGAATTTGTGGACACAGTGCTTTTTTGGGTGCCACAGAAGAAAAAGGGTGAATAAAGAGAACCCAGTGTGGGTGACCTCAGAACCTTCATTTCACCTGTGCACAAATTAACCCCTTTGGCTGACTTAGAGAATGGCTAAGTTATGTGGGTGTACATAAAGAGAGAAAATGTGAGGACATTCAAGTCCAACCCATGGCAGTCAGCAGGTTTTCTCTTTTTCCTTTCCTGGTCCCATCTTCATTTCTGAGCTTCACATGTAACCGAATCAGGTGGAGTGTTTCTCCTGAAATCCATGGGCAGTTTCTGCTTGAATTAGCTCTGAGGCAACCCTGCACTGTACGTCACAGCTGGTCTACCTAGATGCAAATAAAACTCACAGGTGGTTGCACAGACTGGGCCTATATGTAACCATTTATTTGCTCCTGTGACTTGTTCTGGTAGCAAGTAATAACACAAAGGAGAAAATTTCAACAATATTCATCAGCCCAAACCAATATCTACTTTCCTCTCATATGAATAGATACAGTTTTAATTTAATTTAACTTAATTAATTTTATTTGACAGAAAAAAATGAGATATCTTCCCAGAGTAAAAAGCTATCTGGAAATGTCGTGGTCTTCCTTAACAGATGGAGAGTGACTGATTTACTATATTCTTTTACTTATAATTGGAGGCAGTCACAGCAGATTCCTCAATCTGTTGTTGGATAGTTATTTTGAACATAAAATCTCATCCTATCATAGTCAATGAAGTAAGTAAATTTGCTTAATAAGTTTACATTTATTAAGCACTTGTTATTACTGCAGATAAGCATTGTTCTTGTGTAATACACTTTGGCTTGTTCTACCTCCTCTTTCACAGCATTAAAAATAAGCAGATCCTGAGCCACACTGCACACAGTGTCTAGTCATTTGGGATACTGTGACATCCTGGGGTTTGTTTACTCTGCACTTTTGTTATATCTGGAAATAAACTGGGTGCTGGAATATGCAGGGAGGACCCACCTTTATAGACAATTACTCTTCCATTCATTGGGTAGCTCGTTTACTGTCTTAGGCTAATATTAGAGGGATATGAACTCAGTAAATACAGTATGTTTCCCCCAGAATCAATAGTGCATAGGGTGTGTGTGTGTGTGTTTGTGTGGTGGGGACATAAATGTTCATAATATAGAGAAAAACGTGAATGTCATAGGATGATACAAATGAAGGAACCACATCACACTGGGTGATCAGGAGTGGTTCCTGAGGAGGCTGAACTGGAGCCTGGTGTTGCTGGGCGGTTGAGCATACCAATGATGACTTGCTCAGGGGTCAGACTTGCCTTTGCTGATGGTGTGACCTTGTGAAAGTCACTTAATTTTTTGAGGCCTCAAATGTCTCCAGTGTAAAGTGGAGCCAGTAAAGGTTGTTTTTGAAAATTAGGTGAGATAATATATGCAGGTTAACTGCCACAACATAAAAATTCATTAAATGTTATGGTTTTTGTTAAATATTCTGATTAGAGATGATAGATTAAAGTTTGAGAATGAATAATGCTGCTTTTAGAGACATATTTGAGAAAGAAGATAAAGAGAATATATACATGTGTATATATTGACCGAGGATATATATGGCTTCCTTGCTGGATTTGTCCAGACTCTAGCAAAAGGACTGAGAGTCTCATGAAGAAAGACATGAGACCAAAGATATACACTGACCTAGGATATATTGATAAAGAATATAATGTATTGGCCAGGCGCAGTGGCTCACACCTGTAATCTTAACACTCTGGGAGGCTGAGGTGAGTAGATCACCTGAGATCAGGAGTTCAAGACCAGCCTGGTCAACATGGTGAAACCCCATCTCTACCAAAAAATATAAAAATTAGCCAGGCATGGTGCCAGGTGCTTGTAATCCCAGCTACTCAGGAGGCTGAGGCAGGGAGAATTGTTTGAACCTGGGAGGCAGAGGTTGCAGTCAGCTGGGATGCCACTGCATGCCAGTCTGGGTGACAGAGCAGGATTCCATCAAAAAAGAAGAAGAAGAAAAATAAAATATATTAATACATAGGGAGAAGGGGGAGAATGATGGTCCTCTAAGGAGAGAGCAAGTGGGAGAAGGAGGAAGAAGTGGGAGACAAAAGAGTGGTACAAAGTTGAGACACTGAAGTTCAACAAGACCATTGTATATGTGGACTCTCACACGAAAACTTGAGGGAGTAATTTTATTAGCCTGTTATTCCTGCAATTTTATCAGACTACAGGGATTTAAGGAGAGAGAGAATGTGAAGGCAATGGGACAGGGAGCTGAGAGGACTTATTAAAGAAGTGTAGTGGTAGGGAAGAGGACAGAGAGAAGGTGAAGGCTTTGGTTACTAATAGGTAGAGGAGTTGCTTATTTTGCAATAAAGAAATACTGAGTGTATATAGGAGCTGAGAAAAATATTTAATAGATTAAGCATAATTGTAGAAGAAAGTAAGAGACAGTATAAGTCGTTTGACGCCTTGAGGGATGGAGGATGAAGAGTGCATGTGACTGTCCTGACCACAAGGACACAGACTATCTCAGCGATTTGAAAAATGTGGTGCAGACACTTCTTGTGCTCTAGCTTTTTAAAAATATTAAACAAAAGGATTAGCAAATCTAAAACAACTTAAGACTGCAAATTCACCACCCATTCATAAACAGACTTTTGTTTTCAGAGTGAGGGAGCCCATGTAACATGACACATTCCACACTACACAGCTGGGTTAGTCCTTGGAAAAAAAAGGATGAGAATGAGGAGGAAGAAGATGCTTTCAGGCCTTAATTGCTCTACAAGGGCAGGAAGCTTGGGGATAAGATTAGCTCAGGACTAACCAAGGCAAAGGAAATCTAGAGCACTGGAGCTAATGAGAGGGCCATGCTCCTTTCTGAAGTGGAATGTACATGGGGTTTTCCACATCATGATTAAGATTGGCATAGATCCTTCTCTGAGGGAGAATACAAACTTCCAAGGACACTGGCATTTAAGAATAAGTTTCTGCCTACATTGTAGCAGTTAGGTTTTGAGAAAGGAAACAGAGCCACTGTGAGTGTTATAGAATAAGAGAGTTACTTTAAACATTATGTGGGATTCAAATTACGAGCTGCTTAAAAATCTATGAAAGGTAGATCATTTCCCTGCTGGTGGCATAAAGAACTTCAGAGATCATCTTCACAATAGAAAAAAATCATAATTGGTAAAAGTTATAAAAAATATAACTTTTTAAAGTATTTGGACATTGTCTTAAGGACATATAGCAAATAAAGAAACATTTATTTAAGAAAATATACGAAATATCAGAAAAGAACAGTGAGAGTCTGTGGCATTGAGCCATGACCTACTCTGTCCCTTCACCTCCCA